AAATGATCTCAAGAAGATTACATGTTTCTGTGAAATGAATTATATGTCGAGTTATGGTACAAAACGTTATGAAATTACGTTTTAGTGGATATTTAGCTTCTTCAAGAATTTGGCCGCAAAGATCAAATGCTGATGGCCAGTGAAATTATTAGACTCTCTAGTGCCATAGCAATACGGTAATAAAGTACTAAGAGTCCAGACAATAGCCAACAATTCCCCTTCATTGGATGCAAATTAAAACTCTTTGCCTTTTAGTGTTCTGGATATCATTCTGATTGGTGTACCTTCTTGAGTTAAAACCGCTCATTACACTGGCGGATGCATCTGTGGTTAAGTCAAAGGGTTGTTTGAAGTCCGAATACATAAGGATGACATATTGAAATGCCAATATATTTCTCAAATATTCAAATGCACTACGTACGTTGTACGTTGTTTATCATTAAACATTACGGATATTAAATTTGAAACTGTAAAATATGTTGCCTTCCCTAAATTAGCAAGAATCATTGGAATGCTTGTCATCGGGAATGGAGGTTTATTCAATTTCCTAAAATGAACTTTAACGGTTCGCAGCATGTGATTTTGTAATCACTCAAATTCAACGTTTTTATGTTTGTTTTTTTTTTTTTAATTTTGTTTTGAAATTTTTTCTCTGTCCTTCATGCATTCGGTTTTTTTCGGGTTCCTTTTTCTGCAATAAGTTTGGCGTAAAAAGCTGCAAACTTTCTTCTTTTGATTTTGGATTGAGCATCTAGAACAAGGGCTAAAGCTTATGTCTGTGTTATGTAATACTAATAAAGCTCGGGCTTTTCTTCGAATTTTGTTTCTAATAATTGTCACTACCTTGTAGTGAACTTCGCTGACAACATATGGCTAAAATATTTCATGTGCATCCACGGCTGATTGTCTAAACAAGACATATTTATCCTGAATTCCATTGATTATTTAATCTTCTATATATATATAAAAATGGAGCAAGAAAAATGTATACTAACGCATCAATTGAGAACGGCTGGACTGATTTGACTCAAAATTTCTTTCAGTTGTCGGTAATTACAGTGAAAAGGTTTTTATTAAACTAAATTTTGAGAAAAATCCGCGAAAATCTTGCAAAAAATACTTTAAAGAAACGGCTGGACCCATTTGACTTAAATTTAGTTAGTAATTTGTAATTGAAGTGGAAAGGTTTTAATTCGGGGTTTTAATTTGGACATATTTTGGGCGAAAATGGGCAGCGTATATCTTTAAGTAATTGTCAGTTATGGAAAATTCTGAAAATATGTTAATTTTCTACAATTAGTTGGATTGTCATTGCCTTGAAAAAAACTATTGTATATGAAAATAAAGTTATATTTTAATTACAGTTACATTTATAAATCAAGATTTATTTAGTTTGAAAGTATAATACGGCATATAAATTAGAACTTTTTACCAGGTTAACCTACATTATGAGGATTTATTTGACATGTATACAAAGAAATTGACAATTGAAACCCACTGGGTTAACGAAATCCATTTAAATGTAAACGTAGCATAAGTAAAATTCAGTACAATAGTACTTTTTTCAGTACCTTTTTACCCAAAAAAGTACCGTAGTACCCCCGTGACTATTTCAGTACCATTCCAATACTTCATTAAGCAATGACATATATATATATATATATATATATTTTTTTTTTGGATTAGAATTTGTTATGGATTTACCGACAAAAGTATGCAGATAAAGATATTGATGTGATTGCAATATTTCTCTTGAAAAAATGAACAGGTTTTCGACTGATAACTGTTCAGTTATGATTAAAATTACAAATGGATATGTTTGTCAGATACTCAATTTGGCATACTCTGCTATCTCCTAAGGTAGGCAAATTGATGATATTCCTAGTCGTCGTGTTTACTTCAATAATTTTAAGAGCACTTTGGAACTGAAATTCATGTTAGTTTGGGGTATATGTATTGGCTTTCGAGAAAGAGGTAATGAATTTGAAATTAGTCAGTAGCATACATATTCAAATGCAATCGAAAGAAGCAAGAATTCTCATATTATTACCATCAGAAATGTACACTAAGTGATATCTTGAAAATCGATCTTTATGAAACTGAATAAAATATTTTTTTTTTTGTATTTTCTTGAAAAAAGTACCCTTTTATTAAAAAATTTACTCTTTTGGTACCTTTTCACATTTTTTATTTTCCATCCCTGGTATGTATAGGTTTTGAAATGTTTCACAATTAAAACACAGTAAGACATGGTAAAGTAAAGATTGAGCGGTTGCATTATGTGAAGCCCATACCAAAAACTATACCGGCAATTATAAGGGAAGTTTCTTACCCTATGGAAAATACCGAATTAAAGGCAATGGATATATTGTTACTACTTTCCAAGTACTTTAGGATAAGGATGCTTCAAATCCCACAATAATGGAAAAATTGTTTTGAACTTATAAATACAACACATATCCCATGTATTATCTGGGTCACTGAACGAAACTTGATCGTGTCATTAAGAGGAAACAATACCAGGAATATTGTTGAGAAAATTGCCAACACATATACATATGTTTTTATGTTAGTAATTCGGTATATACGATTACAATACATTTAAATTCGTATCCTAACTTATATGTGCCTTTATGGTTCCTCAAATGTTTTTTTAAAAGATGTGAATAATGCGTGCATGACTTTACCGATTTCTCTCACGTTTTCGGCTGTTTTTAATAGCTTTGGGAATTTTTTTACGAAGAAAATGTTGAGAAAAACATCAAAGAGTCGGTGACGATTCAAAGGAATTATAAATCGTATGTGATCAAAAAATATATTAAGTAATATTTACAATTCCCCAATTTTTGTATCGAGCTTTAATGTTGTATTTTAAGACATATGGTTTTTTGAGTTAGTTAGATCGAAAGTTCTAATTTCATAAAATAATATTAATAATGTGATAGCATTATTAGTATTCCCGTCGGATATTTGAAGTTTTGTCTTATTTTCTATAAGCCCAGCTGTTAGATATGAAATCACATTTTCATATTTGTCAAAAAGTGTATTACTTTTTCGACAATGTTTCGTTTTTTTGCCGACAACTTGAAATTTGGATGTGGACCTATGTAAAGTTTAACAACAACTTATTCAAATGTTAAATTAAAATCAAGTTGTTAAAAAATGTGAGGATATAAAAATCCGAGTAAAACATTTCACGATTTAGAGTTAAGATATAAAACAAGCATTTACAATTAAAAGAAGGTATACAGCGTCAACATTGGCCAAACTCTTCCCCCATAACTGTCAAAAACTATTTATAGAATATATAGCAAACATATACAAATCTATAACGGCAATCTGAAAACTAATTAACAATATGTTTAAAATTTAAATATACCTATAACTGAGCGGAAACCACTAAATTTCTATGCCCAATCTAAAATTTTTCGACTTATATACATTCTGATTTCAATATAAAAATCAGAAGGACAGTTGGACATGAACAAAATGATATTGTAATTAAGAATCCTTCAAGAAGGGACACATAAGATAATGTAAAAACGTTGGAGCAATAACAAAAAATTATATACTATTAAAAAAACATTTGGTAAAATAAGTTCCACCAAATTATAAACTGTTATGTGTTTGGGCCTGCATTTGGGTACCAGTGTTCCCCTTTATTTTAAGTTAATTTCACTTTTGAATTATAAAATTAATTTATTTATAATTTTTTTAAAATGTTTTTATTTTTTAATTTATTTAGGGATTCCTGGACGGCGAGAAGAAAGCAGACGCGTTTCGTTGGCGGTATAATTCACAACAATGACTTTATTATTATTCTTTTCCATTATCCTATTCTTCTACATCTAACTTAATTGTAATTTTACATACTTTTTAACTACTAATTATTACAACTAAGAAATTCATATTGTGTTTACTTTATTATTAATTCATGTTATAAATTAATTAAAATTCAAAAATAAATAAAAGAAAAAATCAAGAAAAATACATAAATTGAAATAACAATTACAATAAAAAAAATCAATTTTAATCAATAAAACTGCTCCAACATTCTGCCCCCATTCAATGGCTGCAGGACTTCACGGTTTCTCGGCCTGCTAGGAACTTCTCCTGAAGATCCCTCAGCTCTCTGCTGGCTCCCACGAAATTCGTCGCGTTGTCGCAGTAAATCCTCTTGGGGAGCCCACTCCTCGCGGCAAACCTTTTAAAAGAAAGAATAAAAGCATCAGAAGATAAATCAGACACAAATTCTAAGTGAAACGCTTTGGACGTGAAGCAAACGAAGACGGCTATATACATTTTGGTGGGTGGTCTTCCGCGTATTTTTTTTTTTAAAGTAATATTTTCGGGACCACTGAATTCTACGCCTATTATTAAAAATGGACGTAAAGCTCTCACTCTATCAGTGGGAACATTGCCCATTATTTGGGTCATCAGCTTTGGCTTGTAGCAAACAATGGATACAATTCCGAACTATTCTATTACATTTTTCTCTGGCATTGATAAGCCAAATTTGCTCTCGAGATAATGCAACTAAGGCTTTCGTACCAGCATGGCAATTATTAAAATGCAGATTATTTAAATATATTGACACAAAATGATGCTTTTTAGGACGTAAAAGTGGAAACTTTGTGTCATTGGCAATTGTGCATTTAACAGTCTTCCACCTACTCGAAGTAAAAAAAAGGTACGCTTACACTCAGTGAAATCGTGGATAAATGGTGTCAATTTCTGGATATTGGATATTAAGTATATTGACTTCTTTATTTTAGAAATCTCTTCTGAGAAACTCTCTTTTTGAACTGCTTCTACAAATTTAAGAAAAGACCAATTCAATTCTTGAGCTGTAAGACAGATAGATTTGGATATCTTTCGTTTCTTAACACGATCGACAAATCGGAAAACATATGAAAGCACTCTTAGAAGTTTTTTATATGATGAATGAACATTTATTAATTTCAAAAGAACGTTCTCAGAACATTCCTTATCTGTCTTACTATTTGAGGTCAGCAATACTTTGGATTTTCTTGTTTCCAATGATTTTTGCTCCTCAGTCAACTCGAAATGCTTGTTGACTGGCCATTTAGACATATCGTCTAACAAAAATTTAGGTCTTTCAAACCATATCGATGATTTAATTTCATCTACACTGCATTCTCTCGACACAATGTCGGCTGAATTCTGTTTAGTTGGCACATGACGCCAACTGCATTTTTGTGACCATTCTTGAATTTCTGCGACACGATTTGAGACAAATGTGGCCAGGGAAGAAGGATGGGGTTTTAACCAGTATAGTATAATATCAGAATCGGACCAAAAGTATATTTTTTCAACATCAAAGTTTATCATTGGTTTAATTCGTAACCACTTATTTGCCATGAGATGTGCTGCTGAGAGCTCCAACCTCGGAAGAGTCATAGTTTTGAGGGGAGCTACTTTAGATTTAGCTGTTAGCAGCTTGCAAGATACTCCATTAGAGTCCTGCGAACGAATATAGAAACAACATCCATAGGCACGCATCGATGCATCTGAGAAACCATGAATTTGGTTTCTAGATGAAACATTCGTGTTTACGAATCTTGGGATTTGAATCGTATCCAACTTTGAACGATTGAATTTGAAATCTTCCCAGACTGAACTCAAACGCATGGGAATCGATTCATCCCAGCCTAATTTGTTAATCCAAAGTTCTTGCAATAACATTTTGGTTATTATTAGACACAAAAGGCCGAGGGGATCAAACAAACGGGAAGATATTGACAAAATGTGTCTTTTAGTAGCTTTCAGATCTTGGAAGCCTCTATCTATGTAAAATTTGAAAACAACATTTTTGGGGCCCAATGAATTCCCAATGCCCTTGCAGTCTCGGAATCCGAGTGTAACAACTTTTCACTACAAGCTGTCTCATTAAAATCTGGATGTGTCTTTTAGTAGCTTTCAGATCTTGGAAGCCTCCATCTATGTAAAATTTGAAAACATCATTTCTCGGGGCCCAATGAATTCCCAATGCCCTTGCAGTCTCGGAATCCGAGTGTAACAACTTTTCACTACAAGCTGTCTCATTAAAATCTGGGTGATTAGAAAACCATTTTGTGAGATTTAATCCCGCTGAACTGAGAATAGTAGTGACTTCATCCCGAATTGTGAGAAGACTATTCAAATCAGCAGAACCAGTCAACAAAACATCCACATAGAAGTCGTTGCTTATAACTATGGCACCAATAGGCCAAGTCTCTTTGGACAAATCGCTCAAATGGTTTAAGCAACGAATTGCTAGAAATGGAGCGGACGAAGTACCATAAGTGACCGTATTCAATCTGAAAATTTGCAACGGATCACTTTCGTTTTGTCTCCAAAGGATTAAATGAAAATCTCTATCTTTTTCGTCGATTAAAACTTTACGATACATTTTCTCAATATCTGTAATTGCGTATTTATGTAAGTAGAATCGAAGTAACGTTGAGTACAACTCTTCTTGGATGGTTGGACCTAGCATCAAGAGATCATTGAGTGAAACATGTGAAGATGTTTTACTCGATGCATCAAAAACGACGCGAAGTTTCGTAGTTGTACTTTGAGGTTGGAAAACATATTGATGAGGAATGAAATAATGTGGGTTATTACGAATTTTATTGTTGGTTTTTTCCATGTGACCTAAGTCAAGATTCTCTTTTATGAAAGAATTATACATTTCTTTAGATGTGTCGTCATGAGAAGGTTTTCTTTCCAATGCCAGAAACCGCCTTTTGGCTGTTTCAAATGACGAACCCAAAAGTTTCACATCTTCTTTGAAAGATAAAGACACTTGGAAGCGTCCTGACGATAAACGTCGAACATATTTTTGGAAACGGTCCTCACATTTTTGATGTTCCTCAGACCGAATTTTAGCACAATTATTTGGAATTTCTTCCAACTCCTCATCATTTTCTATGGCAACATTCAAGTGACATACACCTGAATTCGACCCCTTTGACTCATCGTATTTGCCAGCTACGATCCAGCCAAGAGAAGGTTTTTGCAGAACCGGATAACTCGGTTCAACTCGATATGCCAGTTGAATTTAACCTGCCACTTTCCCGTTTTATTTTGAGCCTTTGTACCAAGTCCTCGGTTATCAAATTAGGTTGAGAACCGGAATCTAAAAGAGCTCTAGCCAGAATATATTTTCCTGAGCTACTACGGACCTTCACTAATGCTGTGGCCAACATTACGCCTTCATTCGACGATGAATAGTTGACCGAAGCGCTAGACGTAGAAGGCTGCTCTTGATCAGAAGCGTATCGATGCAGTAAGAAATGGTGTGAACCACCGCATACTCTACACTTCACTCCTGAGTTGCATTTGGCAACAGTTTGACCTTTTTTAGTCAATTAATGCAAGCAGGGACATCTTTAATAAATTCAAATCTTTGCAGAACTGGTACGGCAATGAAGGAAGTACAATTATTTATATTATGCTGTAAAGATCTACAGAACACGCACTTTTCAGAAGATGGTTTCTGTTTAGAAACTGAATGTGACGTTTTAAAGTTCCTTTTAGGCTGATTATCAAACTTTGGTTTATTAATTTTGGGTCTTGCACCAGAAGATTCTTCAGCTGATATATGCTGATATCTTTTATTTAAAGCAGCCTCGCAATCAGACCATAATGGGAGCTTCTCGAAATCAAGCTGTTCTTCCCATTTGGATTTAGTGATTGGATCGACCTTTGACATAACTAAATGAATTAAAATGGCATTCGTAATCTTTTTATCATCACCAATAGACAACAGTGAATCATAAATAGCAGAAACGGTGTCGATCATGCTACGCAAAGCAGAAGCTGAATGTTTAGGGATCTCAGGAAGATCAAAAAGTTTCGCAATATTATCGAAAAATATTAAACAATGATTATCATAAACCTTTTTCAGACTAGCTAATGCCTTGGGATAATTTTCTTCAGAAATCTGAAATGCTCTTACAGTGCCGAGAGCTTCATCGGACAAGCATGAAATTAAGTGATTGCATTTTTCTATGTCTGTCAATGTCGGATCTGTGTGAACTAAATTTTCAAAAAGACTCATAAAATTTTTATATTCTGAATATTTTCCGCTAAATTTAGGCAATTTCATATTTGGCAATCTCGATTGATGTGATTGGCCACAAAATGAAGTTTCAAGCATACTACTTCTCCAATTTTTAGACAAAATTCCTAAAAATATTGACTTTGCCGTATCGGGATCTAGAATGTCAAGTTCGGATTGCAATCTCATTGCATCATCAATATATTTATTAAGAATGTCTAAGCGACATTCTAGTTCAATTGTATTGACCGAAATTCTTTTTTCTCTGAAAGAAGTTTTAATTCTTTCAATGTTTTCAATTACATTTTCTTTCTGTTGCTTAATGTTGGCAAACTTCCGTATCGGGAGTGCTTTGGTGCTTCTTACCACCAGCCATTATATTTAAATAATTTGAATTAAATTTAAAATTTTAAACAAAAATGTATTTACACACTTATTATTAGTGTAAGGTAATGAACTAGTTTATTTAAAATAAACTCTCGCTTTTATCAAAATTTTATTCAATGTCAGCTTTAAATGACAATTTAATTATTATTTTAATTAAACTGTTTGGTTTACGAATGTAAACACTCAAATTTCAATATTTTAGAAATTTTACAAAAATTGCGTCGTCTATAGCACCCTTAATATTGATGTTTCGATAACTATCGATAACGCTGTTTACCAAATGGAGTAACCGAATACAAGTAGTCAATTACTCACGAAGTGTTTGGCACTAGTAGAAACTAATTAAAACAAAGAAAATGAAGTGAAAAAGGCACAATTAAACAAATAAATTTAATAAATTAAAAAATATATGTAAATTTTGCCGATTTGAAATATTTTGATTATAATTAGTTTTAGTTTATTTTCGCGGATTAGTGTGGTGCTACGAATGTATAAAATTACAACAAGTGGAATGGCTGACAAAGCGAAAAGCGGAATAAGAAAAGGCAAACTTAATTTATATGTAATAATTAAGTTTGTGTTATCTTGCCGCGAAATCAAGCCAAAACGATTCACAAAATATATATAATTTGAAATATCAAGCGTATAGGGATAATTTGTGTGAATTGTGATAAAATAAATTTTGTATTACAAATTCTCTAACACTGAGTAATTTACAGGTTAGGATTCACACAAATTATGTCCAACGCTGTTACCTGTGGATCAGAATCACTCTCCTGATTGTTGTGTTTGCTCCAGCATAAACGGTAATCACAGCGACGGGGCATCTGGATCTGGATACAGCAGTGTTTTTCTTTAAGGAGAGTATATATTTTTTTATTTTATTTAATTAATTTAATTATTTTTTTAGTATTGTCTTCTTCTCCTTTCTTGCAGTACTTTAGCAAGGCTATTTTGAAGAAACTTATCAAAACACACCGACACTTAATTTCCCGGGTTTCGGCACCAAAATGTTCACCTTTATTTTAAGGTAATTTCACTTTTGAATTATAAAATTAATTTATTTATAATTTTTTTAAAATGTTTTTATTTTTTAATTTATTTAGGGATTCCTGGATGGCGAGAAGAAATCAGACGCGTTTCGTTGGCGGTATAATTCACAACAATGACTTTATTATTATTCTTTTCCATTATCCTATCCTTCTACATCTAACTTAATTGTAATTTTACATACTATTTAACTACTAATTATTACAACTAAGAAATTCATATTGTGTCTACATTATTATTAGTTCATGTTATAAATTAATTAAAATTCAAAAATAAATAAAATAAAAAATCAAGAAAAATACATAAATTGAAATAACAATTACAATAAAAAAAATAATTTTAATCAATAAAACTGCTCCAACAACCAGTTAATATTTTATTGACAGAAACTTAGTGGCAAATGTTTTTTAACCTTATATTGATGCAATATTAATAAGGCAAAACAACGTTTGCCGGGTCAGCTAGTTAATTGTAATTTTCTCGAATGTTTATTCATTGGGAGCATCTACTTTTAATTCTGAAATCCGTGAAATCCGTTTATTGAGAATATCAAGTTGCTCTTGAAATTCACTTCTAATTTATTCTTCCTGTTCACACAGTGTTTTACTAACAACACTTTCTATCATCTATTGTAACTGCACAGGTTCCACTGTTGTTTCTTATTGAACGACTACTTGAGAACGATATCCTACAGTCTCACTGTCGAACTCTTTTTTAATCTCGCTATAATCGTTAATAAAACTCAGATGCACACTAACACAATTTTTTTTAACATTGTTTTAACAATATCTCTTTAACACTTTCTTATCACTTCACGATAGGCTTGGCTTGAAATAATATGAAAATGTTGTTAATTTTTACGCGAAGTCTTATTTTTTTTGGTATCTCACTTACATGATTATATGACAATTTTCTTAAAAACTGCTCCATCTGCTTATTAGTCTCGTTCTCCGTATTTTCTCCAGTAAGTTTTGATTAGAGATGTTCTTACTGATTCTTTAGAATCGATAACATTATGGTACAAAAAACAACTATAATAGAGACCTAGTACATCGTGTGCGCCTTGAACAGCTGAGTTAAACTAAATTTTTAGAATTTTCAATATACCCTCAAAACCTGAAGTTATCGCCAAAAACTTTTTTTTGTGTGTTTTTTAAAAAATCAGCAATATCTCCACTACTCGATTTGAGTCTTTTCATTTTACTAGGAAGAGGAAAGATAGGCCTATCCAACGGTATTTTTATTATATTTTTTAGTAAAAACTGATGAAACGGCAGATGAAGAAATTCAAATTTTCAACTTTATTTAAATCCTCCATTGTTTGTTCAAGAACCTATTCTTGTAACAAATTCAAACAACAGAAAATTTAATTTCCCGTCGAATGAATTCTTATTGATTCCAATTAGTAAAACACAGTGCAAGCGGGCGCCATTTTATAACTTTTACTTTTACTTTTTTTCATGTGCCGCAAATTTTTCAAATAGTCCCAACGTTGTTTGTTTATCCAATCTTATCTATTAAAATCTCAATCGGCGTAAAAATTAATGTATTAGCATTTTGAAATGTTGGCAAAATTATTCTTTTTCTTCTTCTCAGAAATATTGGTTTTTATGTCATTTATCTGTGAAATGGTAATTTGTCAAATCGCTATTTCTGTGATACTTAAGTTTGTGCAAAAATTTTGCGTGGCGTTGATGTCTACTGGCGGCAAGAAATAAAATGATTTTAATTACACACTAATGTTTGATAATTTTAATAAATTTACTTTACCTTATTAAATTCCATAGCTTGTCCGGGTAAGAAATGCCAGCCATTCCGTCTTTGTTCGTTTTTATTCAGCAGACAAATTGCGCGGCGCAATGAATGTGCCGCCAAAGTATAAAAGGTAAAATACGGGAAATTGAAGCCATTAGTTCAATAACCGCAAAAAAGGTCAAACAATAAGTGAAACTAAGACAATTTTTTGTTGGGTGTTGTGAATAAAAACCAAAATAAGAGGTGTACGAGAATATGAAGATTTGTTTGTTTGCTAATGGTATCTTATCGTAGATTTGCAATAAAAACCTCAAATTGTACTGGCCTCGGGAATATCGTGAGGCCAGGGATTTCTTTTTGGGCCATTGTTGAAGACCGGTTTCTTTTTTGTACCACAGGCAATCTTAAAAGAATAAGTTTTAATAGAACTAAAATTTATACTTTTTGTGCATTATCCTATCATTTCCATTATCATATCCTTCTTTTCCATTATCCTATCTTTCTACTTCTAACTTAATTGTAATTTTACATACTATTTAACTACTAATTATTACAACTAAGAAATTCATATTGTGTCTACATTATTATTAGTTCATGTTATAAATTAATTAAAATTCAAAAATAAATAAAATAAAAAATCAAGAAAAATACATAAATTGAAATAACAATTACAATAAAAAAATCAATTTTAATCAATAAAACTGCTCCAACAACCAGTTAATATTTTATTGACAGAAACTTAGTGGCAAATGTTTTTTAACCTTATATTGATGCAATATTAATAAGGCAAAACAACGTTTGCCGGGTCAGCTAGTTAATTGTAATTTTCTCGAATGTTTATTCATTGGGAGCATCTACTTTTAATTCTGAAATCCGTTTATTGAGAATATCAAGTTGCTCTTGAAATTCACTTCTAATTTATTCTTCCTGTTCACACAGTGTTTTACTAACAACACTTTCTATCATCTATTGTAACTGCACAGGTTCCACTGTTGTTTCTTATTGAACGACTACTTGAGAACGATATCCTATAGTCTCACTGTCGAACTCTTTTTTAATCTCCCTATAATCGTTAATAAAACTCAGATGCACACTAACAACATTTTTTTAACATTGTTTTAACAATATCTCTTTAACACTTTCTTATCACTTCACGATAGGCTTGGCTTGAAATAATATGAAAATGTTGTTAATTTTTACGCGAAGTCTTATTTTTTTGGTATCTCACTTACATGATTATTTGACAATTTTCTTAAAAACTGCTCCATCTGCTTATTAGTCTCGTTCTCCGTATTTTCTCCAGTAAGTTTTGATTAGAGATGTTCTTACTGATTCTTTAGAATCGATAACATTATGGTACAAAAAACAACTATAATAGATACCTAGTACATCTTGTGCGCCTTGAACAGCTGAGTTAAACTACATTTTTAGAATTTTCAATACACGCTCAAAACCTGAAGTTATCGCCAAAAACCCGTTTTGTTTTTTTTTGTGTGTTTTTTAAAAAATCAGCAATATCTCCACTACTCGATTTGAGTATTTTCATTTTACTAGGAAGAGGAAAGATAGGCCTATCCAACGGTATTTTTATTATATTTTTTAGTAAAAACTGATGAAACGGCAGATGAAGAAATTCAAATTTTCAATTTTTTTTATTAAATCTTCCATTGTTTGTTCAAGGACCTATTCTTGTAACAAATTCAAACAGACAATTTAATTTCGCGTCGAATGAATTCTTATTGATTCCAATTAGTAAAAAACAGTGCAAGCGGGCGCCGTTTTATAATTTTTACTGATAGGAAAAATTTTGAATACTCAACAAAAATATATATTTTTTTCATGTGCCGCAAATTTTTCAAATAGCCCCAACGTTGTTTGTTTATCCAATCTTATCTATTAAAATCTCAATCGGCGTAAAAATTAATGTATTAGCATTTTGAAATGTTGGCAAAATTATTCTTTTTCTTCTTTTCAGAAATATTGGTTTTTATGTCATTTATCTGTGAAATGGTAAGTTGTCAAATCGCTATTTCTGTGATACTTAAGTTTGTGCAAAATTTTTGCTACTGGCGGCAAGAAATAAAATGATTTTAATTACACACTAATGTTTGATAATTTTAATGTGCCGCCAAAGTATAAAAGGTAAAATACGGGAAATTGAAGCCATTAGTTCAATAACCGCAAAAAAGGTCAAACAATAAGTGAAACTAAGACAATTTTTTGTTGGGTGTTGTGAATAAAAACCAAAATAAGAGGTGTACGAGAATATGAAGATTTGTTTGTTTGCTGATGGTATCTTATCGTAGATTTGCAATAAAAACCTCAAATTGTGCTGGCCTCGGGAATATCATAAGTGAGGCCAGGGATTTCTTTTTGGGCCATTGTTGAAGACCGGTTTCTTTTTGTGTACCACAGACAATCTTAAAAGAATAAGTTTTAATAGAACTAAAATTTATACTTTTTGTGCAATAACACCAAAACGCAATAAAAATAGACAATAGGGAATTCATATCCATAAATGTTATAGCCTCGCTGATATTGAGCACCGTTTTCTATTGAAAACACAATGATGTGCAATATTAGTTTAGGATAGGAATACACAAACCTATCCTTTGGTAACCTAGACAAACGGATCTGTGAACGAATTTACCTTGAATTCCTTAGAAGGGATTTTTCTCAGCCACGAGAAAATATAATACGTCGAAGCAAACACTACGAAATTCTATAATTGTTTCTTCACAATAATTCTCAAAAATTTTTTAGAGGCCAGAACCTTCTAGTTGAGGAAGTTTAATTTAATTAAGGGAGTAACATTAGCTATATTCGATAAAAGATGTACAGATGTTCCAGTGATCATATTTTTAATTAAGACTTCTAAAAGGGATTTTTTATGGAGCCGTCTACTTCAGGTGTTTGAGCATGTGATAAATATTTGTTTGTTTAGATAAATGTTTTGGAAATATTAAAAAAAAATTGGGAAGTTGTTCCAACTGAATAATCGGTGAAACTTAGTAAAACTGCTTATATTTTCTAAAAAAATATGAAGTTTCAGCTTATAAATTCCAGAAAATCTTTTTGCCTTTTATTGCATTTTTTGACTTATTAAATTAAAGTAAAATAAGTCAGCTAAATTAAGAATCTCAGGAAGCCAGAATAAAGGACTTTCAAAACTATTGGGAGCACTTTTACTGTAAATTCTGTATGGAAAATACAATAGAAGATGTCTTTAATATATTTATTTTATGTTCAGATCAATTTATTTCGAGCAAGAGGAAGAGCTGTAAAAAGAAAATACAGCAAATGCCTCGGACTGCTTTGGACTTACTTATCCTTACTCAAAAGGAAAGTGATAATGGTAATTTTAAAAAATTGTATGATGATTAAGAAGTAAAAGATTCTTATTAAGTAAATTAGTTTTATAATGGTTGTGAAGTGAATGATGATTATGAAATTAATAATACTGTTAAAATTAATGAAATGAAGTAAATAAAAAAACGTACAATTACATTTTTTTAATAATTTTTTTCCTGTAATGGTTGTTTGTTTTATTTTTATACTATGGTTTTTCTTTATGAATATTGATCGATAAGATATAATAATATTTTCTAATGTAACTTTTTTTTAAATATGTGGAATTATGGAATTTGAAGAAATTGTGATACAAGACCACCTTTTCCAAAATACAAAAAAGGCCATAAAATATTAAAACAACAATTTTTTATTTATTTATTTTTTTTTTGTTTTTATGATTATGCTTTTTTATGTATTTATGAAAATCCATCAATTAAAAATATCAATATTTTAAAATTACGGCTTTCCTGAATTAATCTTCACTTTGCCTACCGCTCAACCCACTGTGCGACGTTTCACTGTAGAAAATCTAGCCGATAGCGACATACTTTTGAATCGAGGACATTCAGAAAGCTGATGGTACTGTTGAGGGCATAGTAGAAAAAAAAAAACGATATGAAACGTTTGCAATCGTTTTGTTTCGTACTTTTCATAAGAACCAAACGAAACGAAAGAAAACCACATATAAAGTTCTTTCGTTTTGTGTATCGTACTGTTTGCGCTCATGAGTGCAAACAAAACGAAATCAAAAAGTACTCAACAGTGTAATTTTGTCACCCAGTCAGCATTTCTAGCGTTTGAGTCTCAGTGTTGGCTTTGTCATGCATGATTATTGTGTCACCCAGTCAACATTTCTAGAATTTTGGATTAAAGATACAAAATGAAAATTTTTAATATTTAGACAGATTATATTTTTGAAGGTTTTTATTTAATGTTATTATTTTTATTTGATTTATAAATTTAACCCAAAAAATCCCCAACTTCAAAAAATCTCCAATTCGAGCAAAGCAACTCCTGTTTTGGGAAAAGTTTTCAATACAGGCAACACTAGATAGAAACGGTAATATTTCTTAGCTGATCAGTATCATTGTAGGATCATGCCACGTCCAAAAAAACGGATATTATGGGATGTTTTGATTTTAATGATCAAAATAACACATATATGTGTCAGAACGAAAATTGTCGTAAAACTTTAAATGGACATGCCGGTAATTTAGAGCGACATTTAAAAAATGTTTACCCTGGTTTATACCAAAATTATTTACAAAAGAAAAATGGACAAGCAGTTAAAAATGTGAACAAACAAACTCTAAAAATTTCCTGCACTGTTGATAAAGGTAGTGTAGAGAACGCTATAGTGGAACTGTTTACCAGAAATGGCAAACCGTTGCGCATGACCGAGGACCGTCCATTTAACGTTAAGTTTGGAATAAGTTTGGCAACCCTAGTTGAGAGCAGACGTCAAAATTTCGTGCGCTCCGTTTACTGCGAAAAATTATTAAATATTCAAAGTAATAAATATCAGTGTTAACACAATTGTGTTTCTTATAAAAATAACAAGTGTTTGACACTTTGTGTTTATGAAGTATGGCTCCAAAAACAAGGAGAAGTATCAATAACAAAAAGAAAAGAATTGTCTGTTGTCAATGTAACTCAGAAGTGTTGGATAACGATGACTCGTTTGAGTGTGACGATTGTGGCAAAATTCTCCACACGTTATGCACACGATTAAACAAAATTGAAGTTGAGAGGCAAGCCAACGACTCCTCTCTTGAGTATTTCTGTCATTTCTGTCGACCAACATTGGTGGTGAAATGAAGGAGTTGCTTGAAGAAATGAGAGAAATGAAGAAGACGATGAATTTTATGTCATCGCAACTATTGGTTGCGTTTTACATGAGTCGGATATAGAAGTCGCCTATTTCTCACGTCGTAATAACAATAACAAAGCCTCAGTTGTCGTTAAATTTTCAAATAAGAAATCCAAAACTGCATTCATGGATGAAAAAAAGAATCTTAAAGACGTTGATAACATGAAGGACGTCTATATAAA